CGTGACCTTGGCTCACTGCAACCTCTCCTTCCTTGGTTCAAGTGATTCTCGTGCCTCAGCCTCCGAATAGCTGGGATTACAGGTATGCATCACCATGGCTGGATAATTTTTGTATTTTTAGTAGAGACAGGGTTTTGCCAGGTTGGCCAGGCTGTTCTCAAACTCCTGGCCTCAAGCGATCCACCAACCTAGGCCTCAAAGTGCTGGGGTTACAGGCATGAGCCACCGTGCCCAGCCAGTAGAACTCCTTTCAAAATTTGTCAGTCCTCCCAAATCCTACCACCGCTTTATCAATTAAGTTATGTAATATTCTAAATCCTTTGTTGTCATTTCAACAAAGTTCACAGCATCTTTCCCAGGAGTAGATTCTAGCTTAAGAAACCACTTTACTTGCTCACCCGTAAAAAATAAGTCCTCATTTATTAAAGTTTGGTCATGAGATTGCAGCATCTCAGTCACATCTTCAGGCTCCACTTCTAATTCCAGTTCTCTTGCTGTTTCCACCACATCTGCAGTTACATCCTCCAGTGAACTCTTGGTGCCTCAAAGTTATCCCTGACAGTTGGCCTCAACTTCTTCTAAACTCCTGCTAAATGTTGAAATCTTGACATCCCATGAATCATAAATATTCTTAATGGCATCTAGAATGGTAAATTTTTTCCAGAAGGTTTTCAATTTTACTTTGCTCAGATCCATCAGAGGACAATATCTATGGCAACCATGGCCTTACAAAATGTATTTCTTAAATAATAAGATTTGGAAGTCAAAATTACTCCTTGAGCCATGGGCTGGAGAATGAATATTGCATTAGCAGGCAAGAAAACAGTGTTAATTGCCTTGTACCTATCCACCAGAGCTCTTGGGTGATCGGGTGCATTTTTAATGAGCAGTAATATTTTGAAAGGAATCTTTTTCTGAGCAGTAGATCTCAACAGTGGGCTTTAAAAATTCAGCAGACCATGCTATAAACAGATGTGCTGTCATCCAGGCTTTCTTGTTTCATTTATCGAGCACAGGCAGAGTAGATTCAGCTTATTTCTTAAGAGCCCTAGGATTTTCAGAATGGTAGATAAACATTTACTTTAACCTAAAGTCATCAGCTGCATTAGTCCCTAACAAGAGAGTCAGCCTCTTTTTTGAAGCTTGAAGCCAGACACTGACTTCTCTCTAGCTATGAAAGTCCTAGATGTGTCAGTCAGGAGAGTCTAAATGATGCCGCAGTAACAAACAAGCCCCAAAATCTTAGTAGGCTGAAACAACAAAGTGAGTTATTTCTCAGTCACATTAAATGTTCACATTTGATGGAGATGGGTGTGAGGAGGGCTCGACTCGTTGTGGTCAATGAGGAGCACAGGCTTAGCTGAAGAAGACTGCATCTCTCTGCTCCTCAGTGTCAGAGGCGGGAGGAAGGGGCACACCACAAGCCACACATTTGCCTTTAAAGCTTCTGTCCAGAAGGGACCCATGTCATTAGCCAAATGGACTCACATAATCATTCACAATTTCAAATGCACGAAGTACAAGCCTAGCATGTGTGCAAAGTGAGAAGAGAGCAAGAATACTTGCACAGAGCCTCTAATACCTACCGGTGAGGTACTAAGGGTTACCCTATGTTCTGATAGAATTAAGGGAGGTAGCTTGGAGCTTGGAGGGAGCCCTTGGGTTTTAGGTAAAACTCAAGTCCTTATGAAAAGAGGAAAAACAACAATAATGAGAAATCCTGTGCCCCTGGGCATTCAGAGTATGCCTGACAGCAGCTCCGAGAGAGGGGAGTTAAAATCTCCCTGTGTCAATGACTACTGAGGATGCAGAGATGTCCCCGAGGAGAGGCAGTTCTGAGAGGGCTGTTGGTTAAAACTGAGGAGCTCCAGCACCAAAAGAACTGAACCTTCCTTGTGTGCATGTCTGTGTGCCAGATGACCAGACCTTCGGGACCACACCAGCAAAATCCATCTTGAAAAAGAACAAAGTTGGCGGAGTCACATTTCCCATTTCAAAACTTACTACAATGCAATCTTGATTACCAAATCAAGATTGGGTGGTACTAGCATAAGAACAGACATACAGATCAATGGAATATAACAGAGCACCTAGAAATAAACTCTTACATATATGGTCAGTTGATTTTCAACAACAATGACAAAACCTTTTTTTCCTGAAACAGAGTCTTGTTTTGTTGCCCAGGCTGGAGTGCAGTGGAGCTGCTATCTTGGCTCACTGCAACTTCCACCTCCTAGGTTCAAGTGATCCTCCTGCCTCAGCTTCCCGAGTAGCTGGAATTATAGACACATGCCACCATGCTAACTTTCGCATTTTTAGTAGAGACAGGATTTCACCATGTTGCCCAGGCTGGTCTCAAACTCCCGAGCTCACACAATCCACTGATCTCGGCCTCCCAAAGTGCTGAGATTACAAGTGTGAGCCACTGCACCTGGCTGACAAAATCATTTAATGGGGAAAAATAGTACTTTCAACAACTGAATATCCATATGCAAAAGAATGAAGTCAAACCCTTACTTCACATGATATATAAAAATTAACTCAAAATTGGTCAAAGACCAAAATTGAGAGTTAAAACTATAAACTCTTAGAAGAAACATTGGTATAAATATTTGTGGCCTTGAATTAGGCAGTGGTTTCTGAGATAAGACACTTAAATCACAAGCTACAAAAGAAAAATACAGATAAATAAAAATCAAAACTAAAAACTTGTCCTTCTCAAAGGACACAAGAAAATGAAAAAAATGACCCACAGAATGGAAGAAAATGTTTGCAAAGCATGTATCTGATAAGATTCTAGCACCCAGAATATATAAATGATTCTTATAATGCAACAATTAAAAAACAAATACACCATCAAAAATTGTGTATTTTTAATTTTAATTTGTGGGGAAATTTTTAATAGACTTTTTTTTAAAGAAAATGCACAGTCAATAAGGACATGAAAAAAATATCCAATATTAGTGAAATGCAATTCAAAACCACAATGAGCTATTATTTCACACTCAGAAGGACAGCTATTATATAATATATAATTTATATGTAAATAACATATAAAATATATAATATATAATTTATATATAAATAACAAAATATATAATATATAATTTATATGTAACTAATATATAAAATACACAATATATAAATAATGTATTTATAATGATAATAAGTTTTGACAGAGATGTGGGGAGATTAGGACCCTTGTATACTGCTCGCCTCAAGGGAATAGTAAAATAGTGCGGTTGCTTTGGAAAGCAGTGTGGCAGTTTCTCAAAATGTTAGACATGGAATTATCATATGTCCCAGCAATTTCAATTTTAGGGATTTATACTCAAGAGAACTGACAACCCAGGTCCACACAAAAACTTATGTAAGAGTGTTTGTAAAAGCATACTCAAGGTAGCTTCAAAATGGAAGCTGCCTGAATATTTATCAACTGATCAGTGAATAAAGCAATTGGAGCATATACATGAGATGGAATATTATTTAGCCACCAAAAGGAATGGAGCACTGATACTTGCTGCAACAGAGATGACCCTTGAAAACATATAGGTACTCTTCACAATGGCAAAGACATGTAATCAACCTAAGTGCCCATCAATGATAGACTGGGTAAAGAAATGTGATATACCATGGAATACTATGCAGCCATCAAAAGGAATGAGTTCATGTCCTTGCAGGGACATGGATAGAGCTGGAAGCCATTATCCTCAGCAAACTAACACAAGAACAGAAGACCAAATATTGCATATTCTCACTTGTAAGTGGGAGCTCAATAATGAGAACTCATGACCTTATGGAGGAGGACAACACATCCTGGGGCCTGTTGGATGGTAGGGGGTGGGAGGAGGGAGAGCATCAGGAAGAATAGCTAATGAATGCTGGGCTTAATACTTGGGTGACGGCATGATCTCTGCAGTAAACCACCATGGCACACATTGACTTCTGCAACAAACCTGCACATCCTGCACATGTACCCCTGAACTTAAAACAAAAGTTGGAAAAAAAACAAAAAAAACTATGTTTAACATATATTAGGCATTCAATAAATATTTGTTGAATGAATGAATGAAAAAAAAGACAATGTGCTAGGTAAAAGAAGCTAGATACAAAGGTATACAGGTCGTGTGATTCCACTTATATGAAATGTGTGAAACAGACGAATTCATAGAGGAAATAAGTAGATAAGTGGCTGCTAGACACTGTGAGCAGTGAGAAATGGGGGGTTTCTTTTGGGGGTACTGAAACTATTCTGGCATTATATAGTGGTGATGGTTGTTTATAACTTTTTGACTATGCTAAAAAAAAAACCCACTGAATTCTGTAGTATGTGGATTATATGTGAATTAAAAAACTATATAGCTAGTCATGACCCCAAATTTCTAAAGCAGATTGACTCTGTGTTTGTTGTTTGTTTACTTAAGATAGGGTCTTGCTCTGTTGCCCAGGTTGGAGTGCAGTAGCACCATCACGGTTCACTGCAACCTCGAAATCCTGGGCTCAAGTGATCCTTCCACCTCAGCCTCTTGAGTAGCTGGGAACTCAGGTGCATGCCCTCGTGCGTGGCTTAAAAATTTTTTTTTTTTTGTAGACACCTGGGAGGTGGGTCTCACCATGTTGCCAAGGCTGATCTTGAACTCCTGTTGAACTCAAGCAATCCTCTAACCTTGGTCTCCCAAAATGCTGGGATTACAGGCATGAGCCGCTGCTTCCGACCATGCTTCTGTAATCTCAGCTCTGACATTGGCCATGAGATCTTGTGCCCCATATCTGTTTTTTGGGGGCAGTGGGGGGACAGAGTCTCCCTCTGTCACCAGGCTGGAGTGCAGTGGCACAATCTTGGCTCACTGCAACCACCACCTCCCAGGTTCAAGTGATTCTCCTGCCTCAGCCTCCTGAATAGCTAGGACTACAGGTGCCTGCCAGCATGCCCAACTATTTTTTTATTTTTAATAGAAACCAGGTTTCACCATGTTGGCCAGGATGGTCTCGATCTCTTGACCTTGTGATCTACCTGCCTCGGCCTCCCAAAGTGCTGAGATTACAGGCATGTGCCATGATGCCCGGTTCTATACCCAACTTTTAAATGCATCAGTGCCTTAATCTCTGTAAGAGATAACAAAACAACATGTTGTCAGATTCCTGGAAGGACTGTATGAGTTTCTGCATATGAAGAGCCTAGAACAGTCCCTGATATGCATTAGAGCTCAATACATTGCTGTTCCTGGCCTGTAAGAGTTATAGTCTAGAAAAAGGGTTGACACGCAAACAGAAAATGACAATTCAGCATATCAAGTGCTGTGATGGGGAGACACACCAAGTATTTTTGGAACAGTTGGCTGTTTGATCCAGCCTGGGGCAGCAGAGGAACCTTCCTGAAGGAGGTGATATCTTGGATGGGCTTAAGGACAAGAAGGAACCAAGCTGGCAAAGAAGATACAAGTAATTCAGATAAAAGAAGCAGCACATTCAAACACTCTGATTTGAGAGAAAGCGCATGGTGCCTTCCCTGAGCGGTAGATGGGAAAGAAGTGAGATTTGGGGGCTGGGGCATCAGGCAGGGGTCAGACCACAAAAGCATTATACAATTTTGTTTTATCTTGGAAATTTTATCTTGGGAACCACAGGGAGCCACTCAGGAATTTTAAATAGAAATGATAGAATTAGACTTGCACTAATTTATGAAGCTCCCTGTGCCCATGGGGTGGTAAATATTTTAGGGATACGGAAAAACAAAAAAGGAAAGATGTAGAAAGATCACTTGAGAGGCTGACCTGCTTTTGCAGGCTGAGAAGATATAGAACCAGCAAGTAAAAAGAAGCCAACAACAGGGGAAGTGGGTGGGAAGTGAGGCATTGGGCTGACCTGGAAGGGCTTCTGGATCCCTGGCTTGGCTGAGAGCGGGTGGTGGTGCCGCCTCTGAGATGAAGATCTAAGAAGAGAAACCTGCAAGGAGGAGGAAAGAAAATGGTTTCCAACTTGGGTAGAATGAGAATCAGGTGTCCGTGGGCTTCCAGGTGCTGGGGCCAAGTCTGCAAAGCCACGGTCAATCGCCCCATCTCTAAATTCAGGCATTCATTTTGTTTAAAAAGCCAGAGTCTCATGAGTTCTAATACTTAAGCCATTATCACTCACAGACAACTTTGTATGAGCTTGTACAAGACACTCAGTTCTCAGAACTTCAGTTTTACTGCCAGTAAATGTGGGTAAATGACGATTCCTCCCCCATCCTGCTCTCAGGGAGAATCATGGGGCGAAGTGAGATCCGTGTATAAAAGTGGTTTATGGGTTGTAAAGTGTGGTATACCCGAAAGGTGCTATCAGTATAACAAATAATATAAATTAGAGTTGTATGAATAATGAAGCATTTTTGAATCAGTTTTCTTAAAGAATACGGTACCTGGATCAGTCATAATAATGTTAATTAATCTCCAGCATCTATTTGATACTTTATTGTTTGGCACACTGCTTCCACGTTTCTTATCTGAGCAGATACTTAACCTGTGTACTGAATAGGCTGAGATAATCATTTTGCAGAGGAGGAAATAGAGATATAGAGAAGGTAAATATATCTCCTAAGGTCACCCAGTTAGTAAGCATCAGAGATGGTCTCACTCCTAATCCAAGCACTTCCATCTATACCACAAGGTCTGTTAAAAAGTAATTTGGGCCGGATGCGGTGGCTCACACCTGTAATCCCAGCACTTTGGGAGACTGAGGCGGGTGGATCACTTGAGGCCAAGAGTTCAAGACCAGCCTGGCCAACATGGCAAAACCCCATCTCTACTAAAAATAACAAAATTGCCTAGGCGTGGTGGCCCGTGCCTGTAATCCCAGCTACTGGGGAGGCTGAGGCATGAGAATCACTTGAACCTGGAAGGTGGAGGTTGCAGTGAGCTGAGCTCACGCTCCTGCACTCCAGCCTGGGCGACAGAGTGAAACTCTGTCTAAAAAAAGAAAAAAAAAAAAGAAAAAAAAAGAAAGCAATTTGAAGATTGGTTCTCTAGATTCTAGATAACAGGTGTTAGGTTTATGGCAATTGCAAAGACTGCTATTGCCTACCTAACATCTATTCTTCCCTTGTTACTTAGCAAAAAAACGCTCTCATTTTATTTGGTGTGGCAAAGTGCTCAGGTACAATACTACATTACTACAATACCACATTATTACACCACCACATTGCTACAATACTACATTACTACAGTTACTACAACACTGCAACCTTCCTAGTGAGAAGGAGTGGCTATGCATCTCCGTTCTCTTCAATTATATATACATGAAAATGTACGGGATTTATGACAAAATTTAGAAGAAGCTCACTTGGCTGGGAAGTGGATCCTTTACGCTCTTCCTACTTCCTGCTGCCTGGGATGGGGCCATGATGACTGCAGTTCCAGCAGCCGTCTTGGACCATGAAGTGACCCTGAGGATGAATGCCTGAGTTCCTAAGCCACTCTGTCAGCCCCAAGCTGCCTGTCTCTAAACTTTATTTATTTATTTATTTATTTAGAGATGGAGTCTCGCTTTGTCATGCAGGCTCGAGTCCAGTGGCACGATCTTGGCTCACTGCAATCTCCACCTCCGGGTTCACGCCATTCTCCTACCTCAGCCTCCTGAGTAGCTGGAACTACAGGTGCCTGCCACCACGCCCGGCTAAGTTTTTTTTTTTTTGGATTTTTAGTAGAGACGGGGTTTCACCGTATTAGCCACGATGGTCTCAATCTCCTGACCTCATGATCTGCCCGCCTCAGCCTCCCGAAGTGCTGGGATTACAGGCGTGAGTCACCACACCTAGCCTCTAAACTTCATTTTTAATGTGAGGGTGGAACAAAGCTCTCCCTAAGCCCTCATCCTTTCAGTTTTTCTGTTAAATGCAGCCAAGCACGATCATAATTGATCTAAGAGTATCACATAGCATCTTTTTATGCAGGGTATGTAGTCAAGACCCCCAACTTCTGGATACAGGAGAGAAGAGATTCTTTTCCACCAATCTCTTACACTATTTTTCTTATTTTTATTTATTTCTTTTTTTTTTTTTTTTCTTTTTTGAGACCAAGTCTCACTCTGTTGCCCAGGCTGGAGTGCAGTGGTCCGGTCTTGGCTTACTGTAACCTCTGCTTCCCGGGTTCAAGTGATTCTCTTGCCTCAGCCTCCTTAGTAGCTGGGACTACAGGCATGTGCCATCATGCTCCACTAATTTTTTTTTTTTTTGTATTTTTAGGAGAGACAGGGTTTCATCATGTTGGTCAGGCTGGTCTCGAACTCCTGACCTCCAATGATCCGCCCGCCTCACCCTCCCAAAGTGCTGGGATTACACCCACCTTGGCCCCAATCACTTATATTCAGATCTCAACTTGAAGTCAATTTCGCTACTAGAGATGGTTTCACAGGGTGCTGAGGGTTGGAAGGTAAGCTTCTGTCAATCCCCTCAAGCCAAGGTTTTCCCGTGCAATATCCTCAGGCCATAGAATCACTATGCACATTTTGTCTGTGCGGTTGGCGCCCTTGGCCGGAGAAATAGCATTTCTTTCTTATCTTGCTCTTTCTAATGCCAGCCCAGCAGATTGTCGGCTGCATCTAAATACATTCAATTATCATGAAGGCAACAGTGTGGCTAGAACCCCCTGGCCAGGCAAGTCAACTGGAGCAAATTGCCGCTGCATGGGAGCAAACCGAGGACCTAACGAGAGATCCGGCAGAGTTTGGGGGCAGCGGATGCCGCTCCCCAGCTCGGATTTCCAGAGGCAGTTTAATGTCAACGTCAGTGGGTTCCACACTGGCAGTCTCTTACCTCAACTTCAACTCCATGCCCGCTGACATTTTCCTTTCTTTCAAATTGGCAGCGGGAGCCAGGGAAAACCTAAATTTAACCGCCGGAGAATATACCACATGACATTTGTGGGCCTCACACGTTCGGTTTAAGACTTTGAAAGCTAATTTAGCCATGCGATGCCTCCGCAAGTGACGAGGGTTGATACACCTGAACTTCTGTCATTGTTAGCCACTGTGGTATCATTCTGTCTCTTGAGACTTCATTCTTTAATAACTGCTATCTTAAGCCCCCAGAGAATAGCACTAATGAGTATTTGAAAATGCCAGGTTCTTGGCACCATGCACTGATTTAAAAAAAAAAAAGGAAAAAAAAAGAAAGAAAAGAAAAGAAACCCTAAATAGCAGCCATCAGTGTAATGGTCACTCAGCAAGGGGTGTGGAGGATGCATTATGCATGACTTGCCTTGTCATTTCCATCTCTCCCCTGAATCCCCACATTCTAAGTACAAGCAATTAAGCGGTTCTTGGACCAAATCTTAATTAATTTGAGGATCTATGACCAAGGCCCTCAAATAAAATGCCATATAAGCAATACACACAAACAAATCACTAAACCAGGAGAGGAACAATAATACAAGGATTAGCTTTGAAGAGATCAATGATGGCTGCTTAGTGACAAATTTCTCTTCTTAGTCTGGGCTTCCCTGCACATAACATTGCTGTTCGAGTTTGAAATCTTCGGTGTGAGTTCCCAGAATCTACCATAACGTATCTGAGACTAAGCAAATCTGTTAGATAGCAGTTCCTTGGGGGAAAGGGGACTGTCTTATTGGTCTTCGTATTTTCATCTAGGACATCACAGGTATTCACAAAGTACTGGTGAAACTAAATACCATCTAATCAACTCTCCACATTCTTTTTTTATTTTTTAAAATTTTATTGTATATATTTAAGGTGTACAACGCGCTTTGATATGCACGTAGAGAGTGAAGTGTTTACAGTAGTAAAGCAAATGAATGTATCCATCATCTCACAGAGTTACCCATTTTTTTTTAATGTGGCAAGAGCACCTAAAATCTATTCTTATCACAAAAATCCCAAGTACAATACAGTATTATTAAGTACAGTACTTATGTCGTACATAACATCTTTGGACTTCTTCATCCTACTTATCTGTTACTTTGAATTCTTTGTCGTGTATTTCCTCATTTCTTTATGTCACCTTTCCCCCATCCCTGATAATCACTGTTTAATCCTCTGTATATCTGACTTTTTTTTTTGTTTAGATTCCACACATAAGTGAGATCATGCAGTATTTTACTTTCTGTGTCTGGATTATTTCACTTATCTTAACGGTCACCAGATTCATCCATAGTATGGCAAATGGCAGGATATTCTTTTTCTTTTTTTTCTTTTCTTTTTCTTTTTCTTTTTTTTTTTTAGAGACAGGTTCTCACTGTGTCGCCCAGGCTTGGTCTTGAACTCCTGGGCTCAAGCAATCCTGCCTTGGCCCCCCAAAAAGTGCTGTGATCACAGAGGACATCCTTTTCTAAAGCTGAATAATATTTCATTGCGTGTCTGTATCACAGTTTTTAAATTCATTTACCTATCAATGGTCACTTTTGTTGTTTTCGTATCTTGGTTATTCTAAATAAACATAGGAGTGCAGATATTTTTATGAGGTAGTGATTTCATTTCCTTTGAGAGGTATTGATAAACCCAGAAGAGGGATTGATAACTCTCCATACTCTTGAAATTTGCATCAGTGATCCACATTGCCAGGTCAATCTTGACTTTGGCCTGCCAATTATATACGATGTACAATCCAACGAAGGCAGTTGGATGGTTTCAGAATGTTACACCTAGAAAATGCTACCTTTTTTGAATTCTTAGACTAAAACTTCTTCTAAATTTGACTTAATCTTCATACACTGCTCTGAAAAAAAAGCATTTATATTACTCTTTTATCCATAGTATTTAAAGTTTTTAAAGTGATAAAATAATCTCATGCACAAATAGTAGGATTTCCATCTGGTGTGCATCTGATCATGGCCAACTATTTGGCTGTGAACATTATCAAAACATGTTTGTCCCTATAAACCTTTGCTAGTCATACAGATTTTTATTTTTCAAAATTGTCTAGTTGGTGTCAATATTAGCCAGTGTCAGAAACT